CAGTTAGTTATTTCAAGTTCTTTCTAATAAACAGTCGCCATTTTGTGTTATAATTAAAATGAATGACCATGATTACTAATTGTGCATGCTACCATTGATACCACTGATTATCAAATTCAACTTTCGCATGTAATTATGAAGTATTTTTGCTAAACTATAGCTTTTTAGTTATATTTTTAGAGTTGAGCGTGTGTGCGAGCCAAAGTGGACCAATAATAGATGAAAAGGATTTATAAATCAATAGTCTATTTCAACAATGATTTGAAGAATGAATAGAACTAATAAATGGAATATGAAAATTGAAGTGATTTTACGCTTCCAATATCCTAATATCATCCAATAAAAATAACTACAGGATCTTTATGGTTCCCCTCTGCGGGAAGTTTTGTTACTTCCCATTCCTTATCTTGTAACTTAACGAGCTATATATTCTATAACAAGTATATTATTAACTAATACAAGATTATATTTTAAAAATTCGCTAATTGAATGCTGGAATCAATTATGGATGATTTTGAAAGAAAAGTGAATGAAATACCAGTGGTGAAAAGTGTCATAATTAAGCCTACCATTTTAACGAGATTGCTATTCAACAAACCTCGTTTTGATGTTACAACATTTCCTTCATGCTATGTATTCAGTACATTACTGCACTCAACAACTGGTTGATGTAGCACTTATCATATTTGGAAGTGATCTATTATCGCCACTTAAATAAAGGACACAAAGAATACGTAACATTGATCTCTCTTGCTGGCCCTCTTTTGAGCAAACTATTTAAGAGTATTGCGCTCATTTGGTCAAAAGCTCCTATTTTTATGATGTCCAAGTTAAATATTAAAACCTACCAGGAAATTGTAGTATGGTGATATCAGAAACAGTCAAGAATTTCTTGAGTATTGTATGTCATAGTATTAAAAATATTCCACCACTGATATGTGAATTTCAGTTATAGGACAAAAGCGTTTGAAACCAATCTGACCAAAGTATAGATGACAAGAAGAGTGCAGACTTGTTGAGTCATATTTCACGATTATCACCACAAAAATCTGACCACCACCACCTCCTTAACATACAAATTTGTCTTTAGCAATACAAGAAAGATAATATTTCCAGCAAGGCTTTCTTCTCTCACTAACTAGCTTACAAAAGACCTTTGATTCAGTTAGGAAATTTTATATTGTCACTCGTCCTTTGTTCTACTTTCATATATGTTTGCTGTTTCCCTTTTCGTTTATATGTTTATCATTTTTGAACGTTTTTTTTTTCTTGCCACCAAAAATTTGAATTATTACACTAAAAGTTGAATTTTTGATGTCGAAAATTACTTCTAAAACTTTTTCTCTCAAATATTTTTCTCAAACAATTCTTGAATATGATTACTGATTAGCAACAGCTAAACGAAAACAACTTAGGAATGGTATGTCACCTTGTTTCTCAAAACATTATTCAATGTATGGTATTATATCCAGTGCAGATCAATCATGCAATGGCTAAGGTTGACGAAAGATTTCCAACTTCTAACACACAGAGACTAATTAATTACACAAGTAGCCTGCTTTATTCTAGAATAATTCCGATCCAAAAATTAGAGATATGCCAAGATCCTCCATTATAAATTTGGTGAAAAAAATTTGTCAAACAGTATGATTTTCAGTGAATTTTGCCTTGGGAAAGAGGGATAAGAATTGAACAATACAATATTTCTGAGAGTTCTATCTGGCATGTTGTATGAGTATACTAAGGTTAAAAAGGAGTGAAAAGGAAGGATGAAGGTAAAGATAAGAAATTGTTACCGATGGATGAGAGATTCTTTCAGGACGGGCCAAAGTAATAGGAGGCTGACTTGCTCCACGGCTCAAATTTCTTCTTGGCAATGTTTCCTGTCATCATCTGTCAACCGCAAACGCGCCCTCCTCCTTTGGTATCGACCTCATTCTTGGTTTTGCTCCTTCAGCCTGCAGCACCGATGCCTTCCTTCTTCTCCATTTCCAGCTTTAGCAGCAATCGTTATAATAGACGCTGTAATGGTTAATAGTAGCAGTAGCAACAGCAGTAGTAGTATTAGCTGTTGATTAATAGTATTACTGGTAAGCGGTAAGCAGTCAGTCGTTCAATATCATATAGCTCCGACGTGTGTAAACCGCTGGTTATTGATCCATGATGGCTAGTTATAGTGCAGTTAGCAGTAAATAGTGCGTTGAGTTGAGAGAGGTGAGTGTAGATGTCAATGAGTTGCGGACTGGAATGGTGGAGGTAGCACTGGTGGCAATGTGATGCCATTTTTAGATAATTTTGAAATTGATTAACGCTTGACAAACATCATTATCCCGTCATATATCCTATATCGTTAAATTGTGATTTATTGATTTCAACCTTTGTGATGCCACTCGTAAGCGCTCATTCTCACTCACCTATCTAATACTGAACGATGGTAAATAATCAGTCCAGCCATGCTACTTTAGAAAACATTCCTCGTAATTATTTCCCCGCTCTCTGCTCTAAGCAACGATATTGCTATAAATAATAGATAATGCAACGTTACCTAGCTCTACTTCTGTGTCAGAAACTCATAAAACATGTTCGTGAATTAGTTGCACGTCCTCATTGTTTGTTCATATTTCGAGAACTTTGTTACAGTTTGAAACTTTGTAATTTTTTATCTTGTTTTGTCGTTTTGAATGAAATTGAATCATCGTTTAATGAATACAGAAAGAAATTAATGAATTCTACATATGTGAAACAGTTTCAGAAATTAAATTGAGTGTTAGTGATCCCTTCCGGCCATTTTTCAGAAATTAAATTGAGTGTTAGTGATTTCCGGTCATTTTTCATAAAAAGGAACTATTAAAACTGCGGTGAATTTTTTCTGTGCTACAGGCAGTGCTGAATCAACAAGTCAAACTTGTCTAAACGATGGCCTTCACTGCTAAAAATCCTATTTAGGAGTTGTTGTAGCATCACTTCCAATATCAAAAGTAAAGTTGAAGGCAAATGAAAGAAACACTTCATTTAAAAATAGTTTAGGAGAATATTGCCCCATTTTAGAGCAATCGTATATTTTTCTAATAGCAGTATAAAAGATATTTAGGTGATGAAGATACACTGATTTATAAAAAATGCGAAAATATGACATGTTAACGTCATTGGCTATTTGTTGTGTTTGTCATCGTTTTGCGGTATAAATCTGTGTCGAGTTGTTTATTAGCATTTCACAATGCTTTCATCCCCCATGTATTCTATTTCTCGTTTAATTGGACAGTCGAGCAGTAAGCCTCACTGATTCATCTTTAATGTAATTATTGATCTTCATTTCACATGATTAACTCTCTTGTGAAATGCTTTCTTTTTGCGGTTTCTTTACGGCTCATTTTTTTAAGTCGCAGGATAACGAACGTTTAAAAAGAAAGCATTGACATCAACTATGCCATTAATCCTTATGAATTTGTGTTCCTAAAATCCTAATTGATCTTTTTAATTAGAGATTGTCAAAATTCCAGGTTAAATGAATTTCAAAATTCGACTCAGTTATATAAACCACATTTTTAACAACCTAATCGTCTAACAAATCACTAAAGTTCATCATTGATTACTATTAATATGTTGCTCCTGACAAACGAACCTGCTTAACGCCATGTTATAAAATGACAGATGTGTCGTTTATTTGAATTAGTGATTTCTCCACTAATTCTCCATCGGCTTAAGAAGGATTTTTCTGTCCTTTCTCAATAAATAAATATTTTTAGTATGTTTCTGAATAACAGGCGGATGAATAAAGTTTAATAAAATAAGCATATGAGCGCTGGTGGAATAGTCACAACTATGAAATGTATTTACAAAATTGGCTTACGTTTCAGGGCTTAAATTACTATTGTTTTTATGTTTTTATCTTCAGTTGTTGCTCTACAAATTATAAATTTATCATTTCACCAAAAAGTCATCATGTTTTCTTATATTATATATGCTTTTACGATACATGATAGGATACACGATTGCGTTTCCTCATAAAGTTAGCACATACCTTTGATTTCCGAATATAACTCTTTTTTGTTACTTAACAATTCTCTCACATGTGTTGTAAAAGGATATTTAAAATTTTCTTTGGCAGTAAGAAGATTTTTAAGCATCCTTTCTTATCAGATGTCAGAGAAAATGCAAAATGAAAGAGTGAATTTTAATATCAATTTAAAGTTTATAGAATGTCTAAAAACACTCCCAAGTTACTAAGAAAAACAGTGTTAGTGCCCACTGTTATGTTTTTGTTATGGCTTTGAAATACTAAGAAAAATGGAATATTTACGGAACCGAGAGCCTTCTATGAAGTTCTAAAGTTCTCTCCACTATTTTGGAATTTAGACTTATGTTTGAATGTGAATATTTATTTCCTCAATAGCCACATATCGTTCATTCTTTTCTTGAATTATTTCCTCTTCTCTTTCCTCATATGTTAGCTCAGGTGTTCAAATAACCTTTCGAAATATTAATTATTCTACATATGAGTATTATTCATGTATATTTATATTTTTCCTCAGCGCTGCATATATATATATTTTTTCCTCAGTATTCAGGTGATTGAAGAAAAGCTTTTAATAATTATTCAAACAGTTAGCAATTATTCCATCGATACTAGTTTGCTTTAAAGATGAACAGTTTTAGATATTGGGGAACAAAAGAGTCAACAGTGTCAGTTGCTGATAAGGTCGCTGCGAAAATTTCAGACGGTTTGTGACCAACAGGTGGACACTAGAATTAACAGTGATCGTGTCAAATTGCAAACAGCTACTAAGGACTGTATTTACAACAGTATCTCCTTTTCATCGTCCTCAAAATGGTGCATGTAGGAGGAGCGAAGGGCATAAATCATCCTTGATATCACGGCCTTTTTTCGAAAAACATCTGTCGGTTGTGCCGGAAGAACCTGAAACCTGATATTGATTCTAATGCTACCTTATATCGAGTTACATCGGATATTGATGTGAACTTCAGTCACTTATAAAATAATGCCGGCAGTTGAGCGTACTTCACCAGAATTATGCACAAGTAAAGATTTAGTGGAGAAATATGTCAGTAACGAAAGCATGGCAACCAGTAATTGGGATCCGACACTTCTCCTAAATAAGCTGTACGAGGTGACGTTTAAAAATTTCGGACTTTCATATGATTAAACTTATAATGAATGGAATGATTTTAAGTAAATTAAATTATTTCTGGGATGAAGCTAGTCATGTCAGGCAAAAATTATGAGTTCAGGAAATTTGAAATTACGCTGGGCTGCATATTTTTTTGGTTTTTTTCATCGTGCAAAATTAACTGTCAGAAAGTTTTCCGGTTAAATATTAATAAAACTGTAATGATCAATTATTCTACAATTGTTTGATAGCTCGAAATAATGAACGTGAATGAGAAATACGCCTTTGATTTCATATATTGATTTATATATCGTTTTACCAACTAAATTGCACTTCATCTCCATAAATTTAGCGAAATTACAGGTCAGTTATGAACCGCGCAAGGAGTCAAAGCTTAATCGTTTCACTAATATGGAAGGACATCTTGAAGTTCCCGTAGATGACGAAAGTATATACGCTGAATTGCAAAAAAATTGGGTGCAAAAATATTTTCGAACTAGAGATGGGCGCTTGCAGTGGTTTGCGGTGAGTTATTTCTTTCATTATATCAAGAAATAATAGCTTAGATCAGGGATGAGTTATATTAAAATGATATGAGGCAATTTCACAACAGGCATCCTTTGAATTGTAGCACAACATCCGCGAAGAATTATTTAGTTTAACACCAAAAAATATCTGTAATTTCTAGACTTTTTAGGTGTATTCCCGTTCTTTTGTGTAGTTCATCAATGGAAATCCTTACATTGTTGGAGAATAATTTTTCCTAGCGTTGTGCAACGGGGAAGGAAGAAACTTTTTCCAAATCAACAATGTTCTGCAGTCGGAGTTATCTGTTGTTTGGTGGGAGTGAATAATGAGTACATTCTTTGAATTTTCAGTCACATTTCGCAGATGATACTCCAGTAGGGGAAGTGCTGCTTTCTGGCTGTGAAGTAGATGCCAACAGGGATGAAAATGCACTTTATATACACGGCGGGAAGAGTCATATCAGAATGGTGTTGAGGTCACTTTCATATCAGTCATATTTACGAATTAAAGTTGATTCTGAGGAGTATATTAATAATGATCCCGTTAGAACTTTTTGTTTTGCTCTCAGTTCATTACTCACAGATGCTATGTGCCGTTTGTAAGTAGTTTCTTTGCTATTTTATGACAAAATACATACATATGTATCATTCACTTTTAAGAAGAAGTTGCTCCGTTTTGAGTAATAATTATTTCGTATTAGTGAAGTGTAGATTTCTTCTCCATCACTTCAATGTATCATATTTTGGAATGTTTATGGTCATCTGTTCTACATGTGTAGCTGTTTAGAATTCCGCCAGGAGCCAATGTATTTGATAAATGGAGGAAGGCTATGAACAGTCATGCGGCTTCATCGTATCTTGATACATTCGTTAATCCTGTTTATCCTCCACTGCCTCATATCACCAAGGTTGTTAAAATATTTAGAACTAATTATTCATCTAAATAACGTGAGCTATAGAAAATGGAAAACTGCGATCCTACAATCAAGTACATTTTTTGTTCCCTGCTTCTTATCCCATTTTTTCCTGTTTACTCAAAAATATTCCACAATTCGTATATGAATGCTTCGAATGTCTTAAGCATTAATTCGTATGCGTGCTAAGTGAATTCTAAATCCCACTTTGTGCATAAAGTAGAGAGAATTGAGAATTACAACTTGTATTAGCTTCCTAAGTCTACTTTATTAATTCCATGCTTCTTATTTCATCCAAAGTAAAGGACTCAAGTAGTGAACATTAGGTCATAATTTCAAGTATTCTGTTTCGCTCCGGAAATGTCTGATCCATTTTTTGTTTGTTCAATTCTATAAATGATATGAACCAACTTTTATGCGGGAACTTCCTATTCTATTTCTGTACTTTATATAACATGCATTTGCAGAAAGTCGCTATTATTGAGCTTGGATCGTGCTCAATGCGTGCTGGTGTATTAACAATGGAACCCTCACTACCACAGTCATTTTTTCCAACAATAGTCCTTGTTAAAGATGATGGTAAATTCATTGTTGGTCGTGATGCACTGCTACCTGAGGTTCGTTAGTTTTTGGTTTAACACAGTTTTGTTTTTTGTGGAATGAAGCACTTTAAAGATGCTTTAAGATTCAGTTCGAAATAGTGCTACTATGTATTGTATGTGATATCACTGTTAGCTGAAAAATATTTCACATTTTATGAAATAAAATTCCAAATTGTGATTTGTTTTTACGTCGTGTAACTTTAAGATTTCAGTACAGTTCAAACAGAACAATATGATTTCAGAATCGTCGTAAGGGTGAATTGATAAGACCACTGCGCGCAACGGATATTTCACTGGATCGGTATGTTTTTCACCGACCAGCTTTGAAAGCTTGCTTGCAGAAATGTGTTGATGATTTGAAAGTCGATCCGACTAAGTATCGGGTAAATGTTAATTTTTCTCCTTTGTGAAATAAGGTGTGTTAAAGATAGAAATAAATTGTATATATTTGGATTGCTTAACTGTAGAAACAGGTATATGTCTTATCTTTTTCATATTTATATACTGTTTTTATTGTTATTAGTTTTATTATTTTTTTTTTTGTTTGGATAATGATTAATAGGCACTTAATAAAACATAATTTTTTAGGTTTTGCTTTCAATTCCGCAAAATATTCCTACTGCTCTCATTGCGGATTTGTTGAAATTTGTTTTAGAGGAAATGTGTTTCCAGGTTCGTCATTGTTTATTTTTCACGACATTATTTTTTGTTAATATTTTTTGGTACTTTTTTAGACCAACATATATAGATAGAATTCGTTTTTTAGTAATTTTAAGTGTCTTAAAATCCGTTTTTTCAAGGGTGCAGCGATATCGCGTCAGCCAAGCCTTGTACTGTATGCCTACGATGTTGCTACTGGTGTCGTCGTTGATATCGGCGATTGTGTCAATATTGTCCCAGTAATCGATGGTATGTTCGTAATCACATTCTTTGACTTCTTTGCGTATTAATTCCTAATTTCTTGGAATAAAATTGTTCTTTACCCAGTAATTGGTATCTGCTTGATGCTAGGTTCTATTTTTAAATGTTTGACATCCACCGCTGTTATGTGCAATTATGCGGTATAATTCCCGTCAAGTTTAGCAAGAATGATACTTAAATGAGGAGGCTGCCAGATTTACTCGTGAAAAGTAAAAGAAATTTCAAAACATAAAAAAGTGACATATATGCATATAATTTCACTTTGCAATAATGGGGAGAATTTCCAAACATAATTGTAAAATATGAAGTAAGAAATGTTTAACATTCAGAATTGTACGTATCTGCATTGATATCACAAAACGAAGACGTAATAACACAACCAGTGTTTACCGAGATTATTAATAAAAGCCATGCATTTTTAAAGGTTATGTTGTCGATAATGCGATTATATCATTACCGTGTGGCGCGACTCAAATTATTAATGCTTTACAAGCAAAACTTATAGAATCGAACGGCAGTTACACTTTTCAATCATCAATTGAAATGTTCATTTCGCGATTTGTTATGGAGCAGGTATTTATTCCTTGTTTTTCCATAAGTAGCTAATTGTTTTAATATTTGATACACGTAATTATGTGTGACTGGTTTTGTATTTGAAGGCATGTTTCGTTGCTACTGACTATGATGAAGAAGTTAAAAAATGTTCGAATAACATTTGCGACATAGATGCAGTCATTTCGATTGAACAGTTCGAACCAACCAGTGAAATGATATCTTCATTCAAAGTATGTGATCATTATATACTTTTGACTTGCAACTAGTTACTAATTGAAATATTTTCATCGTTTATTCGAAATGAAGCTTCATTTCAGATAAATTCTGCTCGCTTCACTACAACTGAAGGTTTATTTAAACCAAAAAGGTGGGGTCTTGATACAAAAGCGCTTCATCAACTAGTATTTGAAGCTGTGCAGTTATCACCTATTGATAGTAGGAAAACATTGTTCAGGTAAATTCATGCTTGTTCTTGGAGTTTTCACTATCTTCTGACACAAATTAGTCTGAAAACATTTTCGTTTCGTGATTTGAATTTCGAGTTTGTTTTTTAGGAATATTTACTTGGCTGGTGGCGTCTCTCTACTTCCTGGTTTAGCTGAAAGATTGGAAATAGAAGTAGCATCACTCGTGGCACCAATTATACACACCCAGGTAGTGCTTTTACACTTTGCTGGCATTATCAAAACGTTCAAATATTACTTGTGTTCTGTTGGTGCTCTATCATACTTTGTCTGAATTTAAGTTTTCTATGCTTATAAAAGGAACTGACTTCTTCACTGCGGAATATAGGTTGATTATGCACAGTGTTCACTTCCTTTCTCCATTGTATTTAAAATGATTTTCCCTTTTAACTTATTCCATTTATAAAATATAATCATGAGATTTGCATAACTGCGTTCAAATCGGTTTTTCTTCCATTGTCAGTGCAGCAGCTTTCCATAAATTATTTTTCCCTGTTCCATCCCTGCTTTACCAAATTTAGACTGTAGCATGTAGCAAACTATAGCAGTAGGTTTCCCCTCAAATTAAAATTTCCTAGGTAATCAATACTATATATACACAAATAAACATATATAATCAATATTTACTTGTTTATTAATATCCTTCAGGTCCATCTATCACCGTGGAGGTACAACGCAGCGTACCTAGGCGCACAAGTAATTGCTTCAGGTACCCAGTTTGATCAGACTTGTATTACACTTGGAATCCTCAGTGATTTTCTCCATCAGCTGCAAAATTCCACCTTTTAATGGTAGTTATAAATTTTCAGTGAAAATTTTTTGTGGATCAATCATTGGATATACTTGTAGTATGGAAAATTTTATGAAAAATTTTATTACAATTATCACTTTGCAGTAACTACCACCATATTGCCATTCACTGCCTGCTCTTGTGATATTATCGCTTAGTGATGATTAGTAAACACTGTACTGTTGTTCTCAATTAGGCATTTGTGTGAAATATGCGGAGCTGCTATAATGAAATTGCGTTCGTGAATAGTATAGGTTTTTCATACTATGAAAGTTGAATTCAAAGAATTTCATAACGAAGTAATCGTCGAGATTTTGGAATGAGAAAGACGGTTTAGTGTGCAGTTTCTGCATCAGCTAATTTCTTGTAGCTATAATTTTGTGTTTTCCACATTGTTTTAGCTAAAACATGATGTGATCAGAATAATTTTGATGCAGCATAATGTGGACTATTTCAGTGCAAATGACTGTTTAATTTTTGGTTCTATCGTATTTGGAAAATAAAGCTTATTCCTATTTTTGCTCAGTTTTGAATTGCAGATTTCGAGAAAAAAATTTCACTCCGTTTATTAGTAGGGTTCCATTTGCTCGTATTGCAAATGCTTTTGAACTTGAGTGCGGTCTTCTTGACAGAAACAAATTTCAGTTTCAGGTTTTAAGAGGATGAGTATTTAAATGGTGGGGCAGGAATTACCGTTACATTTTCCAGCTTCTATAGGTTGCGAGCGGTGTGATTGTCGACATACATAGAACCATTCTCATTCTTCGCCGTCTTGTTATTTCCCCCTAAGCGTCCACTGCAATATGCCAAAAAAGAAGTCAGGTGCTCGGAAGAAGGCTGAAAAGCAACGGGAAATTCGAAAAGAAATCCAGAATAGTATTGTAAAAGATATTACACGTCATCCGTGCAATGAACTGATGGCATGTTCTCATTCTATTAATATTTTTCGTCTTTTCATCAATTAGGCTTTAGTTAAAATTGAGTTATAATTGTGTAAATAGCTTGCAATTTAGCAAAAAAATGTCGAAGTCTGCTTCATTTTCTTGTTTTCCATGAACTTATTTAAAAAATAATTGCTAAATGCGGAGCAGATTAAATGTAATCGGATGGCATGTTCCGGTTGAGAGATTTCAACAAAACTTCTAAAATGATATCCGGTTTTTCTTTGCATTAGGTACTATGAAGCAGTGCTTTTCCTACCCGAAACGCAAGAAATCCCAATAAACGGTACTGGATCACGAATCAACTTTTTCCAGTAGCTATTTTAACCATTAGCGGTTTAAATTTGCATAATTTTTCAGCAGTGCGATAAATGTTCCCGAAACCAGAAGACTCGAGCATTTTGTTATTTCTGTAATTCAGTAAATAAAGCACCAATATGTGCAGCTTGTGGTAAACAGAAATGTTTTATGAAAGGGGGAGATTGTATTACCAAACATGCTGGGAGATGTGTAACGGGTTTGATTTAGCTCTTGTTTAAATTATTCTTGTTAGGATATGGTTTGCTATAAAGTAACGGATTTATGTGTGATAATTGATATGAAAGATCACCAAAGTTGTTTGTGTAATCTCACTGAATACAGATGTGAAAATACACGAGACACTCTAAGTACACTGACCTGGATAGATGGATACCACATGCAAATCAGACAGTCTGAGGCAAAGGACTGAGTGATTTATGTTAACATGCTGTGAATTTTCTATGTTGTCAGTCTTAATCTAATTACAGCGAGAAATAAATGGATGAAAAGCAGTGAAATGCGAAAATGAGATTCAGCTAATGTAGTAGTACAGGAAGAATAAGTAAATTAAGTAACCCACATTACATTTACTACACATCTACTGCTGACATCTGTGAAAGCAAATCTGATGTTCAGGTTTGCAAATGATGGGCGCATTATGTGATTATTGTGAAGCATTCATATGCCATAGTAAAAAATGTCTTACAACTCATCCATGTAAATGTCCATTGCGCGGTGCTCAATGTATGGAATGCAAACGAAACGTGTGCGAACACGGTTATTATTTTCCCTTTTTGAAAAACTTTATTCTAAATGATATTCGTGGTACTATTTCAGAAATAAAGTCAGAAAGAAAAGACGGATGGAAAGACATGCAACGAGACTTATGCGTGACGTTTCGATTTTCTTCGCTTTTTCGTTCTCTGCTTCAGACTTGATAAGTTTAAGGTGGGCGAATATATCAGTGTGCTTTTTGTCAAGATTTTTTGTGTGAAGATGATCAATTTGAACATCAGGCAAACTGTCAACGTCTTGAGAATGAAAATTTCAAATGTAAGTGTACAGACTTGTTAAATTCATTTTAACATAAATAAGAATTTCTTACTGTTTGAATGAAGTTTCCACAGCGAAAAAACATTAATATTTCAACGATAATTTTTCGAGATGTTGGTGAAACAGATACTTTTTAGGTATGTCATGCAATCGCTTTGGCCTATACACATGTCTGCGATGTAAGGTCTGTTGTTGCAATGATCATGTTCGCCGAAAAGGTTTTAAGTATGATAAAGATAATAAAAACTTACCATGCCCGAAATGTGGCTATCCAATCACTGAAACAAAGGAGTTCAGCATTTCAGGTAAAATCTACTTGCGTCCCACTTTGTAACGAATAATTTACATCTTTATATCAACTTTAGATATATAAAACTTTTTTTTTTTCTTTTACAGCACGAAAATATGTATATGCTCGTCAGACTCGTGCATTTCGCAGCCGTGACGATGACCAGAAGACAGGCAAATTTAAGCAGTAAGATAAATTCGATGATAGAAAAGTTCTGTGGCGTTTATTTTGGTTTTAACTTTTATGTTTTCACTGCAGAAATAATAAAGATGGAGACTTCAAAGGTGTAAATTACGATGAAGAATCTGATGACGATGGAGGCAGTGATAGCTCCAATCATTACGATGAAGACGATGATGTTAATCATGACGACGGAGATAATGATACTAATCATGGTGATGAAGACTGTGATAATGGTGATAATGGGGATAATGGGGACAATTGTGCTGCTGACATATGATCATGGTGACAGTGTGTTGCTAACAAGGAATAAATAATTGTTTTACAAACTCTTTATATGTTTGTTGAAACTAGGGAATGTTTGTCTCATCAAATGCGACATCATTTAGTGGAAGCCATGTATATTCATTCTATTGGTAGCTTTGATTTCATACGTTTGGTTGCATTTAAGCCCGCTAATTTATTTGTTTACAGGTAAGCAAATGAAAGTATCTTTTGTCAGTGCTGTTTGCTGACTGAAATACAACATCGCAACTAGTTGAAAAGAAGAAAGTGTTGCCTTCTGACCGTCTAATGATGCTGCGGATTTGATTGAAAAAATTCCTGATTATGCTGAAAAGTTAGACTTTGAAAACATGGTAGTACGGTAGTGCATAGATAATCAAAATAACTCACTTTGGATTGAAAAACGAGTTTCTGCTTGCAATTGGTAATTGCTTTAATGGAATTTTCAAGAAAAATTTTTTAAGCTCAATAAGATAAGTGAGTGAGTGGTTTCTTCGATTCGAAAGTTAATGGATAAAGAACGATATGATTGTGTCAGTTCATCTACTGCACATCTTTATTTTTCATGAAAGAACTGGATTTTGGCGAAGTAATCACCTTGACTTTTCCTATAATAAATAGACGCTCATTACTTTCTCTAGACTTCGGCAGTTCCAGTTGAAAGAAATTCTTCCAGAAGCAGTGGACCTCACTTGTCGTTATGTTTTACCTTTTAAAGCTTTCGAGAAGTGTATTTTACTTATTCAGATTAGAATTAAAGTAATCAATGGATATTAAACCTCTAATGAACAGCTAATTTCATAGAGAAATGATTATTATTGGGTTGATGAAAGTGAAGGAGAAGATTTGACTGTTAACAATATATTATTTCTCCTTCTGAAGTCCAGTAATTATAATACTAAATTTAGGCATATATGTAAACTTCAAGGAAGACTTACTGTTTAGATGTGGGTAACTCTGTGCTTGTTGCATTATTCTGCATTTAATATATTACATCAAAGCATAGCAGCAAGCGTCAGTTTTATTTTTTCATAACTTTTTGGTTCTCTTTTTCAACCTTTTTTTTTGAATGAAACGTCAAAAACTGGTTTTTTTCAACGACGTTTTTAAATTATGTTTGACTATTCCACAATCAGAGTGATCAAGAAATGTGCCTTTATTTATTTTCTTTTTTTTTTCAAGAGTACATAACTTTTCTTATATTGAGTTTTAGGTGTCACGTCCCTGTCGACTACCTCCCGAGTATAATCAGATGCCAGATTTTGCGAGGGAAAAGTTGCGACATATCTGGTAAGCCTCGAAATACAACTTAAAATGTTTCTTCTTGTTTGTTAATGCGAAGTTTAGGAGCCATTACAAAAAATGCCAAGAATTCATTTTTACGACCATCATGAGAGGAGTCTCCAGACCAGTTTACTTTTGAGCCAGGAAATTATTTTTTCGGAAACCTTGAAATCTCTTTTAATGTCTTTTGACTATTTATGTTTGATGGAAAGATAATAATGCGGTTGCACAGGGAAAATCACAAATCCGGAGAAAGCTGCGTTGCGGAACAAATTGCTACTGATGTTATCCTTACAGTCGTTAATATTTTCCCTACTAAATATCGTCATGCAGGTTAATTTTAGTATTGGTAGTATCAATCAGCAGTGCAAACTTTTTAAAGAATCGTATTATGATTGAATTAAAGGCCTTCAATTCCTATTCTTCCACTTTTCATTTTGTTTGAAAAAGTGGTTTATATCCATCAAAATTTCAGCAAACGAAAAAAATTCAAGTATTACATAGCATGAAATTCAGAAGTATAACATTTGACAAAAGCTCAGTTTTCCATGGTAAAATCAAATTTTATATCGAATGATGTTTAACAGCACCCACATATCTAACTGCACGAAATTCTGCATCTTTTCAATAGCTGACCCTACTTACATCAAAGGCACATAAAAGCAGA